TGTCATATATAGAAGTAAGCGTATATAAGGGAGCATTTCCAAAAGTGGAAAGAGGTGAGCAGGATGCCACTGTGTTTGATTTATTACATGAGCAATATCTGTAATTTGAGTTTCTAATTCATATGAAACTATAGACTTATTATTTTGACTTCACAAACATCTAATTTGAACTAGTGCTGCATTCAACATACCATGCGACACACAAAAATTGATGTTTATGTTTTTTAATATTTAGTTTTAAACTAACAAATTGAGTAATGTATAGTTCTAAAATTTGAATTATAATCTACAGTTTGATACCAAACTTATTGACATAAGTTTATGAAATAGTAGTTCAATAAAATTTTGAATGCAATTAAAAAAAAATGAGATGACATGGCCTTTTACCTGTGACCCATCTCGAAAGGGTTAATCTAGTGTCTATAAGTAGAAAAGCAAACAAAATCCTTTGATAATACACAGTGAAGATAAGAATTGCAGAAAGTTATAATTGTATAAAGGTATTTCCAATAGGTACTTACATCTACTCAAATATCTATTATCATTCAGTGCTGCTCTCTGTATGCAAAATTTTTTATGCATTCCACAAGCCTTCTATCTCCTCTCCATTCAAACTGACTGATTCCAATGCATCTCTCATGCAAATCATTATGTGTCAACCCTCCACCAATAAGAATGCGCCATACTCTCATGATGCATGTGACTCCCTCTATTGAAGTCTACCAAATTATCTCTTTGAGTTTTGGCAGAAGATGGTAGCACCAGTTTTCAGCGGGGAGGAAGGGTGGGAAGTGTGAGAGGGGCAGGGTTGGGCAGCTATTCCCTTCTGCTTCACCCATGCAAACTTATGAAACAATTCTATCATGAGGATTAAGCCTACAAGTGATCTTGTGGAACACCCTGTCTCTACAGTTTGTGTTGCGTGGACATAGAATTATAATACGCAAGTCGACATGGCTTGACAATGTGGATTTGAACAGTTAAAGAATATTGGTCAGGCACCATTTGTCACAGAGCGGGATCCAAACAATGAGTATTAATAACAGGAAAAGGGGCACCTGAAAAAATAAAAAAATAACTTACCCAGTCAAAGTTTCACTGAATTCTGATATCCTAAAATGGCAACAGGTGGAAGACAATAACCCAAAGAGGAAGAAAACTGTGATTTGATACAAATAGTGAGAGATGAACATATCATGGGTAGTCCTCATGCCCAATTGAAGAAGTACCTCCAAAGCACAAAGAAGATGAAATTCCAATGAAAAGATAAGGTGTGAATTGGGTGAGAAATCACTCAGAACAATGTACTGGATCAAGACCATAAAGTGGAAGAAGCCAATCGAATGAAGAGTCTAACCCAATTGACAAAGGAGGAAGAACACGAACAGAGGGCAATAGCCATGGAAGAAAGAGACATGAATGAATACCACAGAAGGACGCCCTGAAGGAAATATAACAAAGAAGAGCACTTGCAGGACACAGAAATCTATCCGAATCAGGACAAATATAAAGGTGTGAATCAAAAAGGAAGGGAAAGCTGCTAAACAGAGGAGTTATTCTCATGAGCTGCCAAAGTGTTAGGGAGGAAAAACGATATGGAGAAATGAGAAGATATGTAAAAGGATAAAGAGTATGTGAAACCTCGGTGGCAAAAAACAAACCACTGACATCCACAGACAAATAGGAGAAGGAAGGAAGACATAAGGGAAGGTGAAACAAGGAGCACTGGGAGAGTGGTTTTAATGTAGGCAAAGTGAGGCAGTACAGGACCACATTAATATCCCCATTTGGAAGGGCAGCCCACCATGGCTGAGGACAAATCTGGAAGGAACACATCAGGAGCTATCAGGAAAACTGAACACGGAGTGTCAAGGATGAACAAAATCACCTGGAGAAGCAAGAAAATGGGAAGATAGACAAATGTGTAGGTCCAATCCTGGCTGAAAACATCGATAACCAGAGCAAGAAGATGGGGAACTGGAGACTAAAACCAAGGCAATTTGAAGTAAAGGGACGTAGCATAAGCCTCAATGTGAGGAGTACCCCATTGAAGTCAAAGTCACTGGAAAACAAAAGGATCGAGAGACCACTCTGTTGGATAAATGTTGTCTGGACAGAAATCCGATCCATGATGAGAGAAAGCACTCAGAACATGCCATACAATGATAGGAATATCGAGCATATGGGCCCAAAAATAAAATCCAATGTATGAATACAGAGGGATGGAGAATGGGTGATGCCCTGGTGATTGAGATAAGCAACCACTGAAGAAGATGACCAGATGGAGAAAGTGAACTAAAACATGATCTACTGCGAGAAGCTCCAAGACTTTGATAGGATAAGACCTCTCAGCCGCAGACCAAAAACCCTGAATCTTCCAGTTGATCAACCCATGCCCCTATCCCCAAAGGGATGTATCCATGAAACGTGAGAAAATAGATGAAGAGGAAAAAGTGGGACACCCGCCAACATGAGAGTCACATCTAACCCCCAACGTCAATTGAAAACAAGGGTAATAACAGCAGACAAAGGATGAGTGCAAAATTGCACTCGTTGTGAAAAGCCCATGATAGAGCCTGCATGTGAGCCTGACCTAATGGGATGAGGGCTACCATGGAAGATCACATCCCTAAAAGCGATAGAACTTCATGAGCTGTAATCAAAATGAAAACCCATTAAAAAAAAGTCAAAGAGGAGAAGGGTGGGCCCAACTGAGATGTGTGTAGAAAAAGAAAAACACCCAAATGGACAAGATATTGGATAGGTAGCAGTAAGGACTTCTTCAACTTGATTAACAGCCCATTATAACCACCTCCAAGATAAAATGGGGCAGATTGAAAATTAGAATGAAGCAGGACAAACCTAGTACAGGCCACCAGTCTCAGGTTTGGTGGGAGGACAACAAACAGCTTGAAATAAAAGCCTGGAGAAAGATGATGAACAGGCGCAAAAGCCTGTAGAGACAGAAAATCTTCTACCTCCTCGGACAAATGCAGGTTGGTGGCAAGATCCCAAGTCATAGAAAAGGAAAAGGGTACCAGGGACAAAGGAGGTGGGGAAAGAAATAGTAGGACAAGTCCCTCTGATTAAACTCAAAGAACCCATGGAACTGTAGTGAACAATCGCCAAAGGATAACAATATAATAAATATAGTCAAACTCTCACTGGACCAGAACCCTCTGGTTAATCTCCAGTACTCTTGGCGACATGTCCATCATTGTTGAATAAAAGAATGAGATGAGAAACCCCTGAAAGGGGTGGGTAAATAAGGACCAGGACGGGAAAAGAATAGGAGTGTGTCGTGGCTCCAACTGCGACAAATGTGCAATCAAAGAGGAAAGGGTCGAGTGTTGATGCACAGATTACACGAGATTCCAAAGTCTCAAATGCATAATCAAAACATATCGCCAAAGAAAAAATACAGAAATTCCGAAAAGAACGAGGCAGTAAACATAACCAGGACAAGGTGGCATCAGAATCCAGAAAATCCCAACTATAGTGAAACCACGTGTGTAAAGTAAGAGCCAAAGACAATAAATGAGCCAACATGGCAGTAATAAGGTATCATATAAAAAGGGGGAATTGGATAAAACATAACATACCCGAGAAATCATGTCAAAAAATGCTGCATTAAGCCTAGCTGATTTTGAAGTAGGGGTAGGGAAAAACACTGCAAAATCTGGTGGTGTATAAAAAGCTATCAAATCATCATTAGCCCGAACAGGTTCAGATTGTTCAGGAGGATTAGTGAGGCAAGTTCAGGAAAAGAAGGTTGACCCATATAACGATCAATGTAACAATGGATAATAGCAGAGAAATCCATCAATGGGTCTCCCCCACCTGCAGCCTGTGAAAATAGTGCTAGAAGTATAACATCTGATGTGGGAACAAGAACCTCAGAATTCATTGCAGAAATATGTAAATCAAACAAAGTGTTTGATGTAAAATATATGTGTGAGAGAAAAAAAATAGAGATTGGAAAATTAAGTTAAATTAAAAGATTTCTTCAGTGTAAAGAAAAAATTAATAATCAAGAAATCCCACTTCAGAAATTAAATTATTAAAATCATGATTCACACAAAGAGTACCAACAAAAAAAATATTTGAACACGAGTACTGCCAAATGAGAAGTGGTAGTTTGATAGAATTGAATACAGGGAATCACATGAGAGTATTTCACACTCTTATTGATGGAGGGTTAATGCATGATGATTTGCATGAGAGACACACTGTAATCGGTCAATTCAAATGGAGGGGAGATATAAGGCTTGTAGCATACGTAAAAAAAAATGTCCATATAGAAGGCAGCACTCTCATTTATGTGAGAGGAGGTAATGTACCATATCGAAAAATGTTGTACTATATCATACATAAACATCACATGTACAATCATGTGAAAAAGCATGGAAGAAATCATGAAAGTTTTAAGGTTGTACTGCTTTATTACAGTTTTTTAAATTAGATGTTTAGAAAAATTTCTTCAATTCATAAGTTTTAAAGATATTACACATTTTTTTTAAAAAGCCCAATCTTTTATTAAAATAAACAAGAAGAACTTTTAAACCTTTTGTATAGGTGCTCACAAGTGTAGCAAAGTTGGACAATAAAAGTAATGATGAAAAGTCTGTGATGTCTGAAACTTCTAAAGTCCGTATCAAAGATCGAAGCCTTTCCGAACAAAACCTGATAAGAAGAAAAAAAAAAGAGGGATAAACTTATGTATATATGGAAAACAATAAACAAATGAGAATAAGAAATAGCCATCTATAGAATGGGTTATCTGTCCAACCATTAGCTTTCTGTTTGGTTTGTTTTTGGTGTAATGATAAAAATGGTTTGTGCATATCTATTTTGTGGTTTATGTTTTCTCCCACACAAAAAACACATTTCCATGTTAAAATGGCGACCATGACCTTTAAACTTTTAACCATAAAATCCATAAGGTTCTTCCCCAGACACAGGGAAGTGACACTGTTAAGTTTATATGATAATCACAGAAATTAAAATAATTTTCCTACCCAGTATTTAACAATTGAAATATTATTTTTCAAGGCATGGATTCTTTAGAACTTTAACTGAAAAAAAAACATATATTGCAAACACTGAGTTAAGAGATTTTGTAGTTAATTAGTTTTAAACTAAGTATTCTTCAAGATGGTAATGGTTCTTTTTTAGTTGTTATAATTTAAGTTTGTTTTTCAGAAAGATCTTCATAGACACAAAACAAAACTTCTTGCTTTATACAAACCTAAGGGGTTTCCTTTCAATGTAAACTTTCTGATATACATCCTTAAGAAATGATGCAGGACTATCCTGAACCACATGCTGGACCCTGAGCCTTGTCTTCACATACTCTAAGAATCTTTTCAAAAAACTGATAAAATGTTCAGCATTACGAATGTTACCAGGTACAGCCTCTGTGGAGTAGTAAAATACTTGTCAGGATTAATACTGTTAGATATAAATTATCATGGCATTGCTAAAATCTGTGAAGTTTCTTGATTTGTTTCAAGTTTTATAAAGTAGCAGGGAGTAAAATGACCAGGATCTTCAGGTCTGAAAATCTTTGGGGCAGAGGGCAGTAAAATTTCCATTACATAATGGACTATTTGAAATATTGTTAAGTACACTTAATCAAATTATATTAATTACTAGTATATTATTTTATGTTCTTTTTCTAGACAAAATATAAAAATGCAACACTAAAGCATCAATTCATTAAAAAGGCTGCAAGTGTTAAATCCCTAGTGAAAATATCATATCATTTCCATGACTTAATTCAAGTATTAGCAGTACATGAATCACTATTTCAATTCACACAAATCATATAGATATGAACATTTCTAGAATACAATAAAAATACAAGTTTTGTCACTAGAATTTGGTTTTAGTGCTTGCAGTAGGTCTTATCTATGCATTCCAAAATACACATGCTAAACACATTGTGTGCTGTCTTTCAGGAGCTATATTCAAAATTAATGACATCCTTCATTTTCCATCAAGTAAATATGACAATATGTAACTTATGACCTTTCACAGCAGTCAAAATTAGGTCAACCTGAACCATATATCAGTGAAGATTTATGCTTTGTCACATGCCCTACAATAAATTACACCAGTGAATCGTTTATTTGCAAGTTTTTAGACAATAAGAAGTCAATACATATGTTTCAATAATTTTGTTGCAATTCAACCCAGTGCATCAAATATACTGTTCACTGATTTTAAGAAATACTGGCCTTGTGCTTGAACTGTTCACACACATGAATAAAACACCTGCACATTGACCATGAATATTCATCAGTGCTATAAATAAATATGGATCTGTACTGGGTCTTGTTCAAACCTGATAACTTGCACAGCTCACAAGAAAAAATAAAAATGTCCCTAATCAAAATTCACTTGTATAAAGATTGATTTGTAATTTGAAGTAACATTGTTTTCATAAAAATAAAGTCCCTATCTTTTAACCGACTTTGAAAAATATTAATTAATTAATGATTTTAGGATAAAATATTGTGAAGTTTAATCCATTTAAGTTTTAGAATTTTTTCTTTAACAAAATATTTTTAATCTCTTAATATTTAGATTTATATCATTAATTTTAAATTTAAATTTGAATAAAAAGTAAATACTGTGTGGCAAGGTATGGATTGCATCAGTTTCACGATCAATGTACAATAAAGTTCTCATTAAATAAGTTAAGTTACATTGTATCATCTTGAATTTTCATTTTCAGTCATATCTAAATGGAAGTCAATTTAAAAAATTAATAAAGCAAGAGATAAAGGGTAAAAAATAAATAAATAAAAAGGAGCAAAAGTTAAACAGTTTAACACTAAAACAACAGAAAATATCTTAAACATTATTATTTACTCAAAAGAACATTTAAGATAATTTTCTCAAATGAGTCTGTCTGCAGTGGTGGATGACAAACGTTTTTTGGTTTGCTGCTTCCCAAATGTTTACTAGCAACCATTTGATGATCTACATGCAAAACATATGACAACATTATGTAAAAAACTAAACACATTAATGAATCCCTGTGTAACCAGGACTTCACAAGTGTCCTGGGCTTTGCAGAAGGCAATTCTGTATACAGACATAACAAATGGACTGAACCCAATAACACAACATTTCAGCCAAAATACACTAAAATAAACAACTAGAGATTAATCCTCTCTACTATAATCAGTACTTCATATGTCAGAAATATCTGTACTGCAGAAAAATTAAATACATTTTGCAATTGGACTGGAGCCAACAATTCAAAAATCTCAGTCAAAATACACAATATAATGACTGTGGAACAGCTTCAAGTTAAACTATCAAATGAGTGCACTTCAGCTTCAACATGGCAGCAAGTGTCATACTCACAGGCACAAAGTAACAACAACAACAGTCATTGGTCAAGAAGAGTTGAGCTAGCAAATTGCAGTATAGTAACTGAATAGAATTTTAATATTAAAAATTAATAGTTAATTAAATTAAGTAATAATATTGAAACAGTTGACAACAATTTAGAACAATACTTCACAGGAGCATCATTAAGTCAGAGAACATTTTACAAAACATACTTGCTAGTTTTTAGTATCACACTAAACATGCTCTAGTAACAACTGCTGAAAATAAACATGTTAATTTACTGCTAAATCATTTTTATTTTTATCTACAAAAGTTCCGTTGTATATACTACAGGTCTCTGTGCATAAGGATTACACCTATAACGAACAACATTCACAAACCTGATACTCATAGAAGTAAAATAATATAAACACAGTGTGGCTGGAATTTTTTTTTTATCTTAACATATAATTGAAGATTCACCAACCTATGCTCATAACAAGACCACACCCATGATCAAGAAATTGATTACTGTTTTTATAAAAGTCACAATGAAAATATACTGAATGTGTGTGTGTGTCAGAAATTGATAGACCTACTATCATCCTCTATTTTCTCAGTGGGTTTCTAATACACTCAGAAATAACCCCAAAACAATAACAAAGGTTGAATTTCCACCAAAACTCAGAAGTTTTTAGATATATTTTATGCTCTACCATGAAAACAATGCACCTCTGTACAATATCTATAAAAAATATTTTAATCAAATTTATGTATAAATCTCCAGGAAAATTCTTATTCATTTCACTTGGTAAGTTTGTCATAAATAAGAATAAAATAAATTGAATAACCTTTAACAGATCTTGAGGAAACAATCTTTCTAAAATGCATGAACCTCTTAAATCTGGAAAATATGAACTTTTAATTTAGTGAATCTAAGATCTGGCACACAAATATTCAATATGTATATTTTATAAAAATTAAATTTTGATATATTTCTCTACAAAATATTAATTCTCTTAATTCAGAAAAACAATGATACCTTACATATATCAGAAAATAAGTTACTCTAGTTTTCTATGAAGCTTAAACCAGTAAACATAGACGTCTTATCCAATAGCAACAGTCACTACAGGCTAAGCAAACCCAAACCATCTAAGTTCAATACCACTGTCATATATTTGTTAAAAAGAGAGAAAAATATGTACATTGTTCAGGCATCTGAGAATTTCTTTTTAATTTGTAAAGAAGAATTAGCATAAAGTAGAAGAAAGAATTAAGTGAAGAAAAAAATTACACAAGAGATAAATATATTTTAATTTGGTCAAACTAGCAGCAACATGTCATGTGTTGGTGAAGAAAATATAAATTTTAACCTTTTGACAAAAGTTCCAACTTAAAAAACAGGTGGTTTAGTTCATTTATTTTACCACAGAGCTACATAGACTATCTGTACTTTGTCAACCATTGGGAATTGAATCCCAGGTTTTAGCAAGCTAAGTCCATAAATATACAACTGACACACAGGGGGACTCAAAATAGGTGAAAAATGGCAATACACTGTTGTATATATGTGTTGTTGTTGTTTTAAAATTTGAATATTGAAAAAAAATCAAGTGTATAAGGATATATAATAAACATACAAAACTAAACAATGAATGTTTAGGGGAACTCAGCATTACAATCAAACATACAAAGCAGCAAACCAATCCCCAACCACCAATTTTTTGTAAGTGAGGTAAAAACCGAATCATAGCCATAAGTATTAATGCCTCATAACACTATTAAACTTAATATCAGGTGTCTGAAATGTGTTCTACAATCACATATGCACACTGAAACATACAAGACTTTTAAAATAGGAAATTCAATATATGCAGGTGTTGTTCCACTGTATCCCAGCTGAAATACATACATTATAAAAATTGTATTTAATGTTTAACATAGCAAGTAATTAACACAAAGAACTATTAAAAAATTACACAAAATGGCAGACAAATGTAAATGTGTACACTTTAGTTCTCACCTTGCAAAACTTCATCTGGCAATACTAGAAATAGAAATAAATAATAATAATTAAGGGTATATAAATAAAATATTCTAGAATTAGTAAGGACAAAATCTTGTCAAACCAAAGAGTTCTTGATTCTGTTATTGCCTGTACTAGTACTGTACTATAAAAGTATCAAAACTCATAATATTTAAAAGAACTATCTATTTTTATAATACACTGAATAATTTTTTAAAACATATTATTTCTTAAATTTATATAAAAAAATTCAATACCAATCATTAAAATTGTTGTTTTACTTCACGTGATAAAGATGACAAATTTTTGGCAACAGGAAGAATTTATTTATTTTTTTAAACATAAGAGCTATATGAATAAAAATAACAAATAATGCCTCAAAATGTATACAAAAACTTCCATTAAGTAACATCATCATATCAAGTATTTACTACTAGTTTTCATTAAAAGTGCATTCATATCACACCAACTAGTGTAAAGATAATGCATCATGTGTGTGTGTGTGTGTGTGTGTGCATGTGTATGTGTGTGTGCGAGCATCCATTAACAACAGTTGGCTGGATCAATTACCATGATTTTGGTATAGCAGCTGGAAATTGTCAGGTGGTGTACATGGGATATTTTGTTTTAAGGTTTGTGCCCAAGAAAGGGGATAAAAAAACAACCTGAAAATGGGGAATATTTCTACTTCTGGCTTTAAATTTAAAGACACAGTTAATCAGTTAAATAAGTCAATTATTACATTCCACATAGCAGGGTATGTAATTAACATATAGCAAAATCATTACAGATTTAATAACAAAAGAAAGAAGGATGGGGAACATTAATCTAGCATTGTCCTTTATATAAATTTTGCTTTCTTATCTGGTACCCTCAGTTAATAATAATAAAAAGGAAACCTGTAAACCTGGATTAGAAAGTGCAATATCAGTTTCACGTGCAACATTGGCATCTCTTAATCCTTCCACCAATCTTTGGTATTCCTCTTTAAGCTTATTGGTATCTTGCTCTTTTAAACTGGGAAAAAATAAACCAAGTCATTTGTAAGATTTACACGTTTTATTATATACAAGTGTAAGCAAACTATAAAATACATATATATGTATACAACATTCATTACATATAAAATGAAACTACACACATATTTGATTTTTTATTCAGTTATTTATTTCTACCAATCCTTCTCCTTCTTACTGAGTGAATGATATCATACAGGTCTAAATTTAACAAGTTATTTTTCTATATATTTTCTGAAACTCAGAAGTAAAATAACTATTAGTCTTCAAAACCACCTATCTTTAATACTGATTGATCAAATTAATTTTATCTTTTTTAAACCCTAAAACTATGAATTAATCATACAGAAATTACCATGTTTTAGTGGCAACTTTAAACAAGTTAAAATCCACTAGACTCATTTCTCACATAAAACTCTCCATAAATTTAGAGTTCGATCTCCTGCTTTGCAAAATGCAATGAAACTTTCAAAGTATTATTTTAACTTTCATAAAGTCTTCCTTAGCAATGCTATTTTTGTTCAAGGCCATTCTATTCTGACCTTTGTTTTCAACATCTTCATGACATCTAGGACACACTACACAATTAGTAGAAACAACAATAAATGTTAGGCCTTTTATTAGTTGATGTCCGATCATCCAATCAACCATATCTAAGTTCTTCAATCACTGAATGATCTAATACAAACAAAGTTGTAAGAATAAAAACAAAAAAAATATTATTCTTACTATTCCTTCTGCTTTTCAGTTTCCTTATCTTCTTTCAATATGGATTATAACATTTTTGGATGACTTTTTCTAACTGGTTTAGCTTCAACAGGAACAAAAACCCCCATAGAGACTGTATACACAACATTTGCATTTCATGCATATTATTCCTTTCAACCATGCACTTAGGAATAAGATTATGGTAAAAATAACTTTCAGCCATCCACCTAGTGTATACTGACTAGTTTTGCACTATAAACATGTCTTTTATAGGTAAATTACTTTGAAAAAGGCAATGAATTTTCCCCAAAATATTGACACAAATTGGGGAAAAAACTCATTTCCTAATGAACATTTCCCTATAAAAGAAGACCAGGTGAGCACAAAAGTTGTACTGTTTGAAAGCTTTAATACTAAAATTATCACTGAATAGCACATTTAATTTTTTTAAATATTTGACAGATACTGTGATGACAAAACTGCCATTACTTTCTGTATGATTGACTCCAGATTTTAGGGTTAACATAAAAATCAATGCATAACTTAAGTTACTTTCAAAATTCTTTGCTTATAGTATAAACACATCATACTTACTCTTTTATTGTTTGAGCTAGCACCTGAATGTTGTTTTGGCATCGTTCTATCACTCTTCTGCTGATAGTCACGCTCATAGACTCAATACAAACATTGTCTTGTTGTTTAAACAGGAATGAATCAACTTTAATTTTAGGTTATATAACTCAAATTTTATCATAGATGTTTAAAAAAAAACGTCTTTATGCACAAATAAAAATGAGGATAAAACATGAAACACTACAATACATAGAATTACCATCAAGATTGATAAAATTTATGTAGAAGTGAAGTTTAGTGTTTTCAGTACGAGTCACTAGTTACGACTCTCACCAAACACAAAATATGAATTAAAAATTAAATTAAAACTTTAATAATAAAAAAAATATAACCTTATTTAAAAGAGATATCAGAAATTAATGAAACATACAATTTAGAAAGAAAAAATGCCTAATGGTCATTATGATATTACATGTACATCATTTAAAAAATTTTGGAATTCCAGTAACAAGGTAGCTTTTCTGATAATTATTCAATAAAAAAATTCTTATATTTAATTTTCTGTATAAAAGGTGAAAAAAATAAAATAAACATAATACACGTTTCTCGACTTTAGAAAATAATGGTTACAACAGCTATCAAAATCATTAAATAACATTTATTTTGTTAATTAATACAAAACAAAAACAAATAGAATAGTTTATCCATTGTACATATAAAACAAAAAATTTGTTTTAGTGTAGTAATATTATTCACACACCTAAATTAATTTAAGTTACTATATGGTGAATTAAAAAGGACTAAAAAACATAAGTTTTATAAATGCAACAACTGAACTTGAACACAAATTCAGCCAAGAAAAAAAGAATTTTAAAAGGATGATGCCAGCATTTGTTTTGCATTCTTCTGGTTGAAATTCATAAAACTAAAAAAAGAAAAGTCGCAGCTGCAAACAACCAACCTTGTAAGCTCATCAAAGCTGTTGATTAAATACTTATCTACTCAATTAAAAATATTGTTAAATAATCAAGAAACCATTAATTTAAGCAAAGATTGTAATTAAGCAGGATAAGATATATACTTGGGAAAATCACATACTGTTTTTATTTAGCGTATCTTGCATGATTGAAGGAAATTTACAATTCTACTGATATTTAGGTTACTAAATGTTCTGCTTTCATTTGTTAGCTTTCCTCTTTTTTTGAATTACAAGTAAAAATATCAAAATTACAGCTGTGATACTCTTCAATATCAGTATACTGGACTTAATCTATATTTGTACTTAATAGCATACAAGCAAACAAAGCATTTAAACCTCTCTCTCTCTCTCTGTCTATATATATAAATAAATACATACCAATGTTATGAGCCTCATCAAAAACAACAATTGAATTTCTGGAAAATTCTTTTGAAACAAGATCAGCTATCTTTGGGTCCAATAAATAGTGATAACTATACACAATCACGTTAGCATGAGTTATCTGCAAGGAACAAAGTTGTAATAATAACTGTAGAGAATCATGTTAGCATGAGTAATCTGCAAGGAACACAGTTGTAATAATAACTATACAGTATCACATTAGCATGAGTTACCTGCAAGGAACAAAGCCATAGTGGTAACATAATCATATTATATGAGTCATCTGAAAGGAAAAAAGTTAGTCATAATTGTACACAATCATGCCAGTACTAGTTATCTGCAAGGAACAAAGTCATAGTAGTAACTTTATACAATCATATTAGCATGAGTCACCTGCATGGAGCAAAATGATTCTGCTAACTGTACACAGTCATGTTAGCATAAGTTATCTGCTAGAAACAAAATCATAGTGACAACTGTACACACTCACATTAGCATGAGTCACCTACAAGGCAAAAAATCAATTGTGGTAGCTTTATACACTTAAATATGTCTAACAATCCAATACCAAAATTATTCTGAATGGTATAAATGTAAAACTACACATTAGTTTTAAAGTGTTTTCTCACTTTCTGGTATAATATGTAGTAGTGTGCAAAATTATTAGAACATCTCAACAACTGTCAATTTACGAGCTTTAAATACAAAACAGTCATTCATTTTTTTACAGAAATTAACTTCTAATTATTGCAAATTAATCTCAAAAGACACTATTACAAAATTAGTAAACAAATAGTAGCTTTAAGCTTCTTTAATTCTAATGTTTAGTGTGTCCACCTATGGCATCAGTAACAGCTTGGAATCATTGAGGTATCGTGTCTATGTATTTTCTCAGTGTAATTTGATTAAATTTTTCTTTAAACTGTGTCCAAAGTTTATTTTGAACAGTTGGAACTTTTGTCAAGCAATAGAGTCCAGCAAATACCATACTGGTTCTATTCAATTAAGTTATGGACTTTGTGGCAATCATTCTATTTACAAAAGATCTCCTGACCTTTCTTTCTTTGCCAAATAAGCTTGACCTGTCTTGGAAGTATGTTTTGGATCAGTTTCTTTCCAGAGAATATAGCATTACGAACTAAAATACATTGGAATTTATGTTGATCTACCTTATATATATATATTTATATTGCGAATCATGGTGTCTGTCCAAGAGCTCATCTCTCCCGTTTACAGCAGCCACTTCCTTGCTGCATTTGAAAATCTGCACACACAAGCAAAGCTCAAAATTCACTTTTGAAATGATGGGAGAACAGGCATGAATAATGTTAATGCCAAATTTTATTTTGCTAGCAGGATATTCTACACTAAGTTGTTAAGAATAAATACACTATCATTCATATTTCAAAATGTGATGTAACTTAAAGAATAAAAATGTAGATTTACTGTATGCTATTGCTGAGCAGCTCTTAGCATGATTGAAATGTTCAACAATTACTTTTTGTGGTGAGCATATAAGTAGCTCAGAGCTTTGGCTCTAAGTGAAACCAGAAGTGCAACACAATTAACCTTTTTTAAAGCCCATGACATAACTTAAAGTGACAGATTAACTTAAGACTTTTCCCATCACTGTGGAAGGGTACTTTTGCTTGTGATTCTATAAGATACTGCATCCTAAACCATCACAGAGCTTCCTGATTGCTCAATTATTGGCACAAGGTTCACCTTGTGCAACCTATCACTGACTCTTTGGTGAACATATGCATGTAAGAAAGAGCCAAATAGTTAAAATTTATGTACATCCAAAGCAATTTTTGCCACTGTTCCAAAGATAAAGATACATATTATTTTGCAAAACTTACTCCCTGCTAAATTGCCTTTGAGTAGTAAAGGCTTCCTTGCTGCTACTCTTCCCCAATGGACACATTTCTGCAGCATTTTTTGAGACTGTACACAAACTATATTTGTGCATGACTTGTTAATGTCATCAGCAGTTTTACTTTGATTTTTCAGAACTTTTTATATTTTAATCAAAATATTTAGTGGGCTTTTGCCTCTGTCCTCTGTCTTGTTTATGGTATTATAGGATTGGGTTTTCCTGTATCTTTCCAATGTACACTTTACATTACACGGTGAACAGCCAATGGATTTTCCAATTTTTCATAAATTTCAACCAGTACCTTGTAAATATTTCACCATGACTCTCTCAAAGAGTGTTAATTCTCTCTGTTTTAGCATATAAAGACAACACATTGCCATAGTAGCTATACCAGATAATGTTTCTGAAAAAAAAAGGAAAAAAAAACATCCCTTATACACCTACAGAAAATAATTATGTAATCAAATCTCAAATTTTTGTCAATGATGAGTGGTAGATAACCTAAAGGCAATCATATGTGACAATGTTGCAGCACCTTGTATTTAGATTAGACATCTCAAACAAATTTTTAAAATATACTGCACATAAACATTTGTGTTGCTTTTCTCTCCAAATTTTAAATCAGTTAAATGTGTAATTCATAGATAATGTGAGAAAATCAATAACTTGCCTATTGTAATGTTTCCCAACATTTTATATATCAATGGCTTTACTTCATAGGTACAACAAGTCAGAACTACAAGAGCAATGGGATGTTTTAATAAATTTGCGCTCTATTGTATATGATACTTACATCTAAACTGATTGACAACTTTTCATTAACAGCTTCACTGATCACTTAGAAATACAATATTACTCTTATTATACACGATCTTTCTCTGTAACAAGGTTGGTCAACACTCAATGTAATACACAATTTTAACACAAGATCAATTGTGGATAAAATCAGAAAGACTGTTGTTACTGCTCAAGAAAGGTTTCTTGAATCTTTTTTTTTTCCTATCATCACATATTTCCTAGCCAGCTAACAATGAATGGCAGTTTTTTTAGTCCACAATGGGTGAAGTGGATTAGTCAGACGGAAGTTACATTTCAAATGAAACTGAACATATTCATACACAACAAAGAAATATAATCATCCTATTTTAATGCTGTAAAGTATTTCAATTATGTATTTTATTCTAGGATGGTAATCTGAAAGCACGGGTGTGCAAACATCAGATTAGCTACTGAATAAAACTAATAATTTTAATTTCTTTAATTATTGTTCCAAAAGTTTCTTCATAGTTTAGTGGATTTGTTTTATAAAATTTGGATTAAGTCTTACAAAGCAATTGTTAATAGGAACTTTGGAATGAATTTAAAGAAGAGTATATAATAAGTCTTCTTTATAATGTAGCAGGTCAAATAACCATAGCTTCAACAGGAGAAAACTACTTTAACAGTGATTAATAAGAACTTCTGAATGAAAGTAAAAAAGAATGCATAATTATACGTCAAATACACCGTTTATACTATATCCAGAAACAACAAGGCTTTTTATTCAATACCAGGACTCTTTAGGTTGGCTGGGATACAACAGACACAGTAATGGTTGAGAATTTATATCTATATTCATATTTGATAATTAAATAAGAGTGAACTGTAACTGTAAACAAAGCTTCTAGATTGACAAAATAGACTAAATGGATAAATGGTTAAAAATACTTCACACAAATGCTTCACGAGATTTCTTTTAAAACAATAGGGGATTAGTTCCCACAAGAGCTGTTTATGGCCCTAAAATCCAGTGAAGAATAAAGTAATGGAAAGGAAACAATAAGTGGTGTTTATGATAGTCCCAATGCCACTCTACCTCCCAGCAAATCACTATGAAGAAGTGTGTAATGTGTTTGTAAATATGGGGTACATATTATGGGTACAATATTTACACACATTAGAAGTAGAATTTAACATTGAGCACAAGTACTTAGCACCACACTATATAATAGAAAAAAAAGAGTTTCACAAATGAAAACAAAGGTGGGATGTACAGTTGCTCAAAGCATAAGAACAATAAATATGTAGTCACAAATGCTGAAACACTCAGAAACTGTGACACTGAATATTCACATACACTGTGACATCATATATACTCTGAAGTTCATAATACTGTGACATACAATAATCATTCTCTATATTTTTCAGGATTGAATAGTAGATATGCCTAAGTACAGAAAATGTGACATCGGTCCACTGACACTCACATGGTTTTAGGACATATTCAAGATCACATCACTGATGCAATATAGTAGAGAAGTACTTCTTATGATACTGATGACTAAGGTTCTAGCAACAGTATAACAAGAAAATTGTGGATTTGAATGTTTCTTATCTCCGTGTACTTTTTTATATTACATCCATATTTTATGCTTGCTACAACTGTGCTTTCAGCAGGTTATATGTGATTTCATGTAAGTTTTTCCATTAATAACACCATTAAATAAATGTGTCTTTGTAGTTGGTACATGCCAGGCTATTATATCTAATTCAGTGATGAAAAACACAATAGAGCCAAAAACAGCCTTTACCATAAATAAGTATAATGCACGTTTCCATTACTGTGTTAACAAACTAATTCAAAACTCTCCATAAAATGAAATATTTAAATACCTACTTACAGCATGACGAGCAATAAAATACGGGCACCAACCATTTTTTTTTCCATATTCTTTCAGGTCATCCTAAAAATAAGAATAACCTCCAATACATATAACAATAAAATTAACTATGGATTTGTTCATAAAGGCTTTCACTTGCAAATTATAAATCAAATGAACACCTTGAAAAATCCTTTTATGAATACATTTCACAAATTAGAACTGCAGTCAAGATGCCTCTAGAAGTTATAAAAATGAATTGTGACAGTTCTTTAACATCAATTATATCTTCTTATTTTAATAACATTTTACTTTCTAAATACTATGGTTTAAACAACTAAGAAAAAGAAAAATACAAATTTCTTTGATATTGTTTGTTAACTACTCTTTTGTTGATAAAGCTAGTGCTTTGTTTGAATAATTATAACAATGGTAATACACTCACATACATAGACTGTAGCATTATAAATAACTACAGCATTAAACTACATAAATATTATCATTATATAATTACTATGACTGACCTTGAAGTGTTAATTTTCTCTTACATATTTTACCTATTAACTACAGATTTCAAAAAATTACCAATGCTAACAATTCAACATCTCAGTTCCAGTTGTTTCAACATTACAAGAGACTATAAAATTCTTACATCAGTAAACCTTACTAAATCTTTTTGATTTGTGTTAAAAACAACATATTTTTATAATAATGATAGTGCTAGACATTATAACTATACATAAATATTTCTTTAATTTTATCAATTACAACTTGAAATTAATTCTACAAAACCACCAAATCTCATTTAAATACTGTCAACCAAAAATCACTGTATGTTTATAAAGAGCAATATATTTATATTTGTGTAATTGTTATGAGATTTCAGTAAGTGAATAGCTGAAACTTGGCCATCCTTGTTTCTACACAGAAAGTCTTATTTTACTACCTCCAGTGTATAAATATAATTACATTTTCACACACAAATAATACTGATGTTTATAATTCAGTACAAAGCATCATTTGCATGTTTATACCAATCACATAAAATTACATTTCTATTTCAAAAAAAATACTTTTAACTAAAAGAGAGGCCATAATACTAGATATAATAGCCTAAAACATTGTATTTGTGTAATACATTAGTCATCAAAAATACCCTTCAGTAAACATTACTTATAAACAAATTTTGTAACCATATACAAGCTATGAGCTATACCAGTGTACTCAAAACAACTGAAAAAAAAGAACTATTGCACTTACAAGACTATAAACACCTGCTGGTAGAGGGTACTCTCTCCCATGAGCATCGAAAGACTAGAAAGAGATAACCCTAGTTAACAATACTAAATTAAAATATAATGTGTTTGTGATCAATTCAATTTTAGAGAAAACAGAAGTACGTAGATAAAAATCCAAAGAAACTTGACTTACAGAAAATTCATTACCAAGTCAAATACTAATTTCCTACATATGAAAACATTTGTAGATTGTAAAAAATGTCTCACAAAGGTTACATTTATTTACTAGAAAAGTGAGGATATAAATATATTATCTGTAAACAATGCAGACTGATCAACACTAAAATCAGGAATACTGCATAATCTTATAAAATTCAGCATTAAATATCATAAACAAAACTGATTTTAACAGGCAATCACCTAGAGAAAAAGTAACAATTTTTAGCGAGATGAAGAAGCTACCATGAAGAACTTTTCTAGGATTCTCACTTTCTTTTTTACTTCCTCAAAAGACAAATATTTCCATACTATCTATCTGAAAGTTAATCTCCAGGATATTAGGAAAACACAAGTAAATGTGGCATATTTTGTCAAAAATCCCATAATAAGCTCTATCAGTATTTTGATAGAGCTGTAAAAGATGTTTGACTAAGTTGTTAATTTTTGATATGACATACAATGAAATACATGTAAAAATAATGGCCCCATATTTTATTTACAAATCTGTCATGGCATTCTACCAAGCTATCCTTAATCAATAATAAACCAGTTTAAGAGAACCTTAAAATTTTTAATTCAGTGTACTTAATAGAAAAGCATTGACAAGTATTAACACAGACAAACACTGACAGTCCATAAATTGAAATTGTTTCAATTATTAAACGTACTGTAGAAATTAAATGGGATTACATATATTTTTGAATGAAAACAAAACATTTTGAAGAGATTTATTAAAAAAGAATAATACAGATATTAAAAGATATGTTTCTTTAAACTATAAATACACTAATAATGAAATTGTAACCAATTCATTTATTGCATAAAATGTATACAAGTTTTTACATCATAACTACATGTAAAAGTTACTTTGATAAATTAGTATTTACAACACTAGAAATACATAATTATTCATTTACTGTTAAGTCAAAATTTTAAAACTGTACCAGCATAACATTTAGATAACTAATTCAAAATATATACTACTAATAGTACTTCAAAGGTTAACAATTTGTTTGTTTGTTTGTTTCTAATT